CTTGCAAGTGAGGTCAGAACAGTTTAGAAAAAAAGCCCGAAAACGCACCTCGCCGCAAACACACCCAAACGCCCAAATATCCGACGCCAATGATCGCCTGAATTGAGTGCCAGGAGCAACAACAAGCAGCTCGGGCGGCATCCAGCGAATTGAGCCGCCGCGGGTTGAAGCCGCCCTGTTCGTGGTATCGGACTCGATAAATCCTGCCAGGCCGAAGTCGGTAAGGCACGCTTCGCCGTGCTCGTTGATGAGGATGTTACGCTGAATAAACATAACAACGGTCAGCTTGCTTGGAATTGTCGTGGCCAAGTGAGAAGACACACTCCGCATAAGTCGCCGTGGACGACATTGCTCGAGTGCAGGTATCTGAGACCCTCGATTACATCGCACAGCTGTCCCAGATTAGCGTTCAACTCGGAATGGACAATGTTTAGAGGTCCCCACCAGCTCTATCGCATACGGGGCCACAGGCGAATTTTCGGGATCCGCAATGTACTTCAGCACGCTTCCCTGCGCCATCCATGGCGAGACCATCGCCCTTGCCGGGCTCGGAAACGTTGTGGAATCGACGCCGAGGAAATGGACCACATTTGGGTGCTTCATATGATGCCATAGCAGCGCCTCCTTGTTGAACTTTTCGTACAGCAGCCGTCGGCTCTCCGCGGTTTGATCATCGAATATGCGAAGGACCTTCAGCGCGATCTCCACCTCTTCGCCATCAGCTTTGGTGTAGCGGCCGCGGTAGACATTCGAGAAGCCACCAGATTTTACAATGTGGTTGCTGAGCAGCAAGACATTGTTAACGGAGAGCTCTTCGGGCAGCATGTCAAGGTGCGCGGCGAGGGTGTTGAGCAGGCGATGTGCACGCCGGGAGAACTGATTCCAGTTGGGAACTACGTCGTTGGGAGGCAGACCGTCGTCCAGAATCTGTGGAGATGATCAGAGGCAAGGTAGCGCCGGCGAGATATCCGTGGGCTTACTTTGTGAGTAATGTTGAGCACAGCACCCGCATGCTCCTTATTCACGCTTTCGATTTCTTGCTGATATGTGTTCAGAACGAAAAGCTCCTGGAGGACACTGCCAATCTTGATGTGGTCTTCGATCATCTTTTTCGGAACCAGCGCCCGCGTCATTCCGCGCATTTCGGACAAGCACTTAGAACAGCTCAGTGCACGCCCCGTTATAAGGCATAAACGAGAAACCTTACCTCCGTAATCTCTTTTCGGGCCCTCAATGCTCCGAAAAGTTTCGCGAAAATGGTGTGCGTCGAGAGCGGCACGCCTTCCAACTCGAGACGCCAGGCAGTGCCTTCCTCAGAAATTTGAAGCAGTCGAGGCCAGATCCTGCAAGTCAACGGTTAGACAGAAGGACCACAGCCAATCAATACGCACGCACCGTTCCGCGTCCACACCTCCTAGGCGATGTAACCCATCCACCAGAAGCAGGAAGATTTTCTGCCCAGTGCGTCAAATCGTGGTCGACTCGTCAATCAGTAGTGCGCATGCATACACACCTCGTACAGCATCGGAGGACTCGGAGTCACCCCAGAGTAAATCAACGGCCCATCTCCCCCTGGAACGTGCATCGTACAGAAGCGGTCCAGAATCGCTGGACTGTCAGCGACGTGTCGGAGGAGCGTAGATTTGGTCACGACGACGATCCCGATCCTGAAGTCTCTCTGCATGTTCTTCTTCAGCCGCCGCTGGAGGCTCTCGACGACCTCGCAGACCTCTTCGGCGTGCGCTTTGCTGCGCAGGCCGTGCACCACGAGAAATGCACGTGGCACTACGACGCTTTGGGGGGTATGCTCGTTTTCGAGATCAGCATTTTTCATCTTCTTTCTTTGCTTCTTCGCCTTCTGTATTAGCTCCTTGTAAGCCTGGTTTATGGGGCGGATCAGAAAGTCTGTGATGACTTTCTGGAGTCAGCCTATCAGTGGAGGGGCACAAAGAGCTTGAATTATTCGCTCACTTTGTCGTCGTCGTAGTGGTACGAGGGCTGCGGGTACCACGTAGTGGTATCAAAGGCGCGCGAGAACGGGTAGGCCGCGAACGTCTCGGACAGGATCGTCGGCGGGTCTTTGCCGAGCTGCGTGCGGTACTCGCGAGACGCGAGTGCTAGCCCGTGGATAAGAGGCCAGTGAACAGATTCCGCTTGGCTGAGGTCGACTACGGCTACACCGCCCGCGCCGGGCCAGGCGGCCGGGCTGAAAAGATCGGATGCGGCCCCGGAGATGCTGGCCCGCATATTTGCGCTGTCGGCAGTAACCCAGAGCGCCTTGCTTGTGTCCCATTCGCTCGCGAGCATGGACCAGTGAGTCAAGTTTTTCGAAAGTTGCGCCGGAGGGGTCCACGGAGTATGATTCCCCATGGATTGAGGTGCCCGCGAGGACGAACTAGAACTAGAGCCCAGTTCGAGGTCGGAGTTCGAGTGGACCTCATCGTCTACAGGAAGGGCGATAGGGCCGGTTGAGGAATAGCAGAAGTATAATTTGAATCGAGTCCATGCAGAACGCTGCTTGAAAGACTGGGGCGTCCTAGAAGCCGTATTAGCGCTCATCTCAAGGCCTGAGTTCGAGAGGTTGTCGTGGGCAGCAAGCGCTATAGCGCCAGTCGACGGATAGCGGAAGTACGACTTCAGTCGAGCCCACATAGCGTGTACAGAATAGGACTCCTTCGAGAACAAATGCAGAGAGCCCAGATAGCGAAAGTATTTCTTGAACAGAGACCGCTTCGCGTCCCAAGAGTAGAGTGCGCTGAAGGGGAGCGAGTCTCTCACCGCTATCTGGCGGAGGCACTCGACAACTAATCACGTTAGAACCAGCTGAACAATTTTCCATTTAGCATGGGCGCACCATTTTCTCCCAACATATATTGCTGGAATTCTTCGGCTCCGACGACGTACCAGTCAATGATCCAGAGGAGGATATCGGAAGCGAGTGTGATCTGAAGTAGATTAGGGTCCGTCGACTAGGAAGAATGCTAGAAACATACGCCAATCCACATGAAGCATGGCAGCCCACCGATCGCGGACAGCCAAACACTGCGAAATGAGCCATTGAGCGTGATTCAAGAAGTCACGGATCACGTACTATAGTGTGGTAGCCGCGACCAGTATGACCTGGGAAAAACCATGTAATTGGCATTTAAATCTACGCACAATGCTGGGTCTCTCTCACCGTAAAGATGATCCGCCAAAGACCGAAAATCTCTTCAGTGAAATACCAGCCGAAGAATCCCGCCACAAATTGCCAGAGTCTCATCAAAACGAGGCCTGCAACTGAAGAAATGCTTGTTTCGGGGGACCAACGGCGATGTATGCACCGTCACTCACGCAAGAGGAAAATACAGAATGTTTTCAAGGAGTGTACCTCTCGTTCGAGCAGATACACTGTGTATACAGCGAGGCATGTGGGGACCAAGGCCGCTGCTATCCATATCCGGCTATACAGTTGCGGCGAGAGGTGGAAGCGCATAGGAATGGAGGGAGAAAAAGAGATCGGTTAAGCGCCGCCATGTCAGAGTGGTGGCAGTGTTGGTAATCAAGGGTTCAGTTTGATGGTTTCGAAACAAGCGCCTTCAAGGTGTTTTGGAGTACTAAGTATGAGGGTTCCTTTGTGCAAAAATCATTTGCGCGAGCGAATGAGGTCACCGCGCGCGAAAGAGGATTTAGCGCGCGAAAGGGAATTCAGCGCGCACGAAAGAAGCCCAGCGCCCGAAAGAGTGTCAGCCATATATTGGTAATAAAAGTAGGTGCTCACCCTTCCCTCCTCACCAGAACAGGCCATTTTAGCTCTTTGCTAAGGGTACTGGCACCCACAAAGTTCGAGAGAAAAGTCTGTCAGATAAGATATGATAAGCCAAGATAAGATAAGATGGATACGGAAGCAAAGATAGGATACGCTTACAGTCAAAAGTTGAAATAACTCTGTCGGCCGGTGAGGAGTCTAGTGCAAACGCACTAGCAGTGGCGCCGTGTGGCGGTATCGATGAATCAAACTGATCAATTTATGATGCGCCCTTGATGCGCCTGCTACCTGCCGCCCGATAAAAGGCGCCGCAGGTGTATCACCCGAGCGCTTCCACCTGGAATAATACTTTAGCTAGCTACTGAGGATACAACAGATGCAGTAACTGGATACGTCTGATCTGATGCACACTAATAGGACCGCGAACGCCGGTACAGTAACAGAGGAGTGGATATTATATCGAATGTCTTTAATCCTGGGTGCACGCGTTCATGCACTACCTTATTCCGATAAATTCGGACGCTATGTTGTAATGCGCCGATCCGCGAGAAAGCTCCGAGTGAAAAAAAAAAAAAAACTCCTGCAAAGTCCCCGTTTTACAACCCGACCCGGAGTCGAACGGGCGTTCATCCGCTGAATCGGAAACTTTTGCTACAACTTGCAGAAGCGGCTGTCCGCCATCGTGGCTGCGCAAAACTATGTATGTGAACGGTGATGATACTCGGGCGTGTGGAATGAAAGAATCAGGCCAAGCAAGCTGCATATAAACTACTAATTCAAACGGGGTCCACCGATACTGGTTGCGCCGGTTGCGGAGAAGAAAATCAGATTCGTGATCAAGGCAGGTTCCCTCAACGAAATTCAGAAAGAATAGTTACATAAAAATAAACTCACCAGTTACCTGCAACGACCCGACCCCAAATCGAACGGGTTTCTCTGCATGTACTCCACTGACAGAATCACAGTAAATATCGCAGATGCGGACCTCCGCCGTCGGGTCTTGTATGCTATTTGAGGAATCTGCGGATTGGACCGGCGCTTACGCGTTTTCAATTGCAAATATTGATATGTGAATGGGAGATGGCTGAATGTACGCCGCGAAAGTGGATGATCAGGAGGCCTGGAGACTCGCAAAAATCATCCGAATGCTACAGTCTTGTATCTCTAAATCCCAGGGAATTGAACCTGCTAGCTTGAATGATTGTTAGAGGATCTCCCTGTATGGAAGAAAAAGGCAAATGCACCCGGTTTATGCCGTCGGGAGGAATCGAACCTCCGTGCATCTCCGAACGTTTATAACACACCGCCATAAAGGACGAGCAGGACCAACCACTGGTCAACGACGGCTTTCTGAGTGGGAATACGTGCGGGTGGATGACGGGGACTCCCGTCGTCGAGAGTCTAAAGTAGGACCGTGAGATGATGAACACAGCGAAATGGAAACGACAGGAAAGTCAATTAGCCGCCATTTCCCCCTTGCGACAGCGCACACCTTCAAGCGGGAATGGCTGCTCCACTGAGAGCCGTTCTTGGACACCTGGTTCGCATCAGGAACGTAAGAAAAAACAGTTTGCAGGATGTTCTACATGCCGTAGGGGGGAGTTGAACCCCCGCAACTCTCGTAATGCACAAACCTCCGAATCTATAACAGAGCGAGAGAGACCTGGCCTTGGTCGACGACGGCTGGTCTAGTCGGAGTATGTAGGGCTATATGAGGCGGAGTGTGAGGGTAGGAATGCGGAGAGGACGTGGAATTACCTGAGAATGGAATCCTGGCACTCGTGTTGAGAGGAGCGGCTATAGAATTTCTAAGTAAGGAATGAGATGTAGGTGAAGAAAGTCCGCACCACCGTTAGTATAATTTACGTTTCGGGGACCGCGCAGGATATGTATCATTCACCCAAGCGAGGACCTCTGAATTGCACTATGATTAATAGCTGGGGAGGAGCGCGGGATATCGATCCTAGAACAATGGATGAAACATGCTAGATTTTGAGGGATAGAAGTAGATTCAGATCGAGTAGAGAATCAAGCGAGGAATGAGGGGTGTTACCAACTGAGCCCGACGGGGAAAAAAATAGCCAAAGACGAGGCACAACCCGACCCCGGATCGAACGGGGATCTTCTGCGCATGTCTACGGAGGTTGATTATAGATAGCAGATGCGGCCGTCCGCCATCGGGTTTGTGATGCATCAGCAAAATGGCAAAAGTCTTGTGACCTTTTCGTCTTTTTGTCTGGTGTGGAAAAAAAAAGTTCACAGAAATGGTCCCCAGAGCACAATAGGATGGGTCAGAATTTTTCTTTTTTTGAGGTCTTGTGGGTTTTTAGGACATGTCTTGTGGTCTGGCGTCCTGCGGCCCTTTTTGGTCTTGTACAAGCTTGTACAAGCCTGTACAAGCATCCACAAGCAAAGTGCCAAAATCGCGATGCGAAGGGTAGGTATCGCTACCTTATATGAGAGTGAACTTGTGCGCGGCGGAATTATGCGAGGTCAAATATGCACCTGATGGCTATAAAATGAGTAGACCGATGCACAACAACCGAGTGGTTCCCGAGATCCTGAGAGGGAAGATTGGAAGTGCATGCCCAGTTAAATGAGGACGCCGGGCCCTCGCAGGGTGAGAGAAAGAAATCGCAGAGTAGTCGGACTCTTATCTGTTTACATAAAAATCGAGAAGCAGCCGGAAGGAGAACATCATAAAGGAAAGAAAGAAGCGGAATAGTCAACGGGCGACAGGCAGGATGACTACTAGGAGGGTGACCTCAGCTTTCACTGGAGAGCACCGAGAATCACGGCAAGCCACGCGTCACAACTTACGCGGTGCCAGACGGTCGTCGTACCGGGGCTGTTTTCGTTGGAAGCATTTCTCAGAGTTCGGGCGCGCCGAGATACTGGATCGAAGCATCGCGTTTGCCTCACTGGCTCGGAGAGAGTTGTTTCAATTCCGCCTCCACGTGAGTTCCGAATTTGGGAATTTGATGTCGGCTCAACTTTCGGCAAATGCACCGGCGAGGTTCGGCACGGTCGCACACAGAAAAAACATGAAGTCCCGAATAATAATAATGCCATAAAGATATCTGTTCGAGTGGTCAAGATTGGGGTTCCTGGTTATCAATGATTATGGATTCGACGTAGGGTAGTAATATGTTGGGTATGGATATGCGGGTGGCATTGTGTGGGTATAGGAATAAGGGGGAAAATACGGGTAAGGATGCTGTGCGGGCAGTAAAGGAGGGGGGGGAGGCAGGGCGCAGTAGCTTGATGTCGACGATGATGGATTGTTGGGTGGGAGGAGAGGAGTTTCCGGAACCTTGGAAGAAGAAGCTCGTGACCTGATAGAGAAATTCGGATCAGCATCATGAACAGAGCAGAAAAGATAACACGTACTTTTCTACTTTTGCCTTCTTGGATTTACTTCCGCTTGACGCTCCGGCGCCATATGCAAGATCGCGATCAGCTCCCGCAGCCTTTTTCTTCATCTTCACTCCAGGCAGCATCGCCTCACGTGTGGTACTCCATTCGTAGGTCTTGTTCGGAGGGAGGTACTGAGAAACGGGAAGTACGTTGCTGCTATCCGTTTCCAGAAGCATGGCGTCGAGTGCCGCCTCGAGGTCGGGAAGGGCTTGAAGATCTGACTCCTTCTTGCGTGGACGCCGGAGCCGGGCAGCCAATCGCTCGAGCTTCTCCGCGACCTTGGTTAGAGCGTGGGACTTTTTCGAAGGCTTCGGGGCCAGAGCGGAGGCTAGGAGAGGCTGGATAGGCGTGCTATCCTCTCTCGGTATTTGAGGGCTGGGGCGTGGACCGGCGGGAGAAGCGCCTGGTTCGTCAAATAACTCCTGGACAGCGCAGATGTGCTTGCAGTACGATATCAAAGGAAAGTCGAGACAGTTGCACGTGTAGGTGTCGATGTCGACTTCATAACTTTTGGATGGATTGGATTTCGATTGGACGAGATACTTCATGTCGCCAAGTTCCTGTATATCCGCCTTGACGTAGGCCTTGCTCCGCTTGATGATGCATCAGGAAAAACCCCCTTTGCCAATTGTTCAAATTTTGTCACCAATTTCTGACAATCTCAGAGTGCTGCAAATTGTTGATAAATGTCAACCAAATGTTGACATTTCTAGACACACTTGACCATTCCTCTGAAAAAACCTGAGAATCAATCTTAAATAATGGCATAACTGTATTTTAGGTCCTGAAATGCTCAAGGCTTGAATGAATCAGAAGAAGTTATTTTTTTCGGTCCAAGGTGACACGAAAATAACATGTCAGCATGTTTCAACCATTCACGAAGGTTCAGTCATTCAAACAATAAGAGGAACACGAGGAAACCTAGCTGCCGTCGTTGCGGGCCAAAAGTTTCATTGGGTTTCAACTTGGTTTCGACGAAATCCTTCTAAGTCCTAACCGACGCGTATCAACACCGCCCGCGCCCGCCGCCGTAATGTGCACGTGTTCGCGTAAGATGGTTCGTTTTGATAAAGCCACGTCAGGCAACGTCACATTCCTTCTTCCTTTCCCCCCATCTTCACCACTCACCCTTCTCTTCCCACTTACCTAGGTATCGTTCTATGGCCTTCACATCGAGCCAACACCCCGCTGAACGTCCCCAGATCCTTCGTCAAGATCTCCAGGGTGCATCGGCCATTCCCGATGGGCTGCATCGCCGAAGCTTGGGCGCATCGGCTCTTAGCATGGTGAGGCCTTCTTTTACCCAGATTCTTGAACTCACCTTTCTTGTTAGGCCTGTCTAGTGCCGCATGTCCTGTGCTCTCCGGTGGGCCGCTTCTACATGTCATCGACATTGTTTCAGCGCAGGTGTGTTACCCTTTTTTTTTTACCGCTCCATCGTGCTGACTCATCGCTGTTGCATTTAGTCTCGATCGTCAACACTCTCAGCCTCTCCTCCAGCCGCAATCTACGCCTTCTTGTTCTATGGTGTGTGCACACGAACCCATTCCACGCTCCGGATCATAATTTATGGTAGATTGTACAAATGTGCACCCACCTCGCTGGCGTCCATCAATACACACCCACGCCCGACGGAAGTTCCCGGTGAGTTCTATATCACCTCCATCTGTATCTTATGTATCCCCACAGATGATTTAGATGACTTGCAGGTTATGTGTTCCCCATGACCGCGGTAAGCAAGATTTGCATCAATTATCTCGGCCCGTATTGACGACATCTTCAGAGTTGCTTGCATACATTTGATGTGCTCGTGGGGTTGTCGGGGCGGAGGTGGAGGAGGAGGGTCCCCGAATGATGGTGTGGTATGATGGTGTGGTTGCTAGTTTAATGTAGTATATTAGTTTACCGCATGTACAGTAGTTCGGGCGTGCAATACAACCATTTATTTTATTCCTGCATTACAATCCAAGTAAAGGTCTCACATTGTGCTACATTATGTCACTATTGGCTTCAAATCGTCGAAAATTGTTGGAAAATTGGTAACAATTTTCAGGGACCAGTCAATTTTAACATTTTTCGAGAATATGCCAATTGTTGACATTCTGCGTGAAATGTCGGTGATTCCGAAGATTTCTCCCCACTTGTAGCAAAATGTCAAAGGGGGTTTTTCCTGATGTGTCCTGGCGCTTTTTCACCTCAATGTCCGGCCCTTCAAAACCCAGCTCTTGTCGACGCTGTTTGAGAGCGTAATACGGAAGGACCTCGTTGAGGAGCGTGTTGAGCAGATGATCGAGCCGCCGATTGCGCTTATTGTGGAAGAATTTTCCTTTGAGGACATGATGCCAGCTAGAGAGCCGTAAGAGTGAGAAACAAAAGACGAAAAGGTTATCCAGCGCACGCCTCGATAAGCATATTCGTATCAGACTGCTCGAAGATATTGCGTCCCGTCCGATACATCCCCGACCACATCTGAACGACCTTGTCTGTCATCCAATACTGATTGAGATATTGGACGAAGCTGGCCGGTGCAAGTTCCTGGATTTTTGTCCATGCAGCGTCGAATTCGGATTTGTCCGTCATTCGGATCCATCGTTTGAGGAGAGCCCAGAGATCCGGGTGGGTAGAAATATGAAAATGCTGTTGCCATGCGTGGAGGACGTGCCACCAACAAAGGAGAATCCATGCTAGATACGCATCCCAGCAGGCATTGATCTGTGGCCAATCGAAGTCCGAAATAAACCTCCGGGGTATCGTCAAAGGGTTACGTGCACGATGCAGCTTCAGGAAGTAGTAAATCGTCGCCTGAGAGCCGCTTGAGGCTAGCATCCAGGCAACGGGTACACCTAATGTCGAGGTCGGGAGACGGAAACAAGCATGAGGGGGAATCACGTACCGTGCGCCCACTTATCCCGCACCAGCAACGTCGTTAG